TGGATGGATGGATGGATGGATGGATGGATGGTTGGATGGATGGATGAATGGATGGATGGATGGATGGATGGATGGATGGATGAAAAGATACAAAGTTGAAAGATGAGGGTTTGAAATGGCAAATGGAAAAGCCAGTAAGCGACTAGTAGTAGTAGGCTCGCACAAAACATGAGGACATTGCGTCAAGATAAAAACACGTCAGAAAGAGCTGTAATAGCAATAATAATATTATGATGGGTATGAGAGTATGAGTATGAGTATTTTAATGATCACTTCATGATTGACAGTGAAAGTTTAACGCCTCCATCGATACAATTTAGATCATTATGGAGGCAACCTATTTCAACTCTGCTCGTCAGGTCCAGCCTAGACGGAGTGGGATAACAGCATCCCACAAGAAAGACGAAACTTCTCAATAAAATGAACGCCCCAAAGCGGGAACAAAAGTAATGCCTTCTGTAGCCGACAATGAATATAATATATCCCCTACAATAGCCCCAATACCGCCAGTCATTTCACTGTTTTTACAATAATCAAAGTGATGTACAAATGGTTATGTAAAAACTATTTAAACATCCCCGTGAATGTGTGAAATGAACCTTGATTTTCTTTATTTGTCCTGGTCCTTTGTCCCTCGTTCCTTCCTTCTACAGCATGTGTTGTCTTTTCGCCGTCTGGTCACACATTGTTTCATGCTCGAGGCAAGGCGTTTGACCTCGGCGCGGAATTTCATATTCAACAGTCCGTAGATGATAGGATTAGACACCGAGTTTATGAAATAAGATCTGAGGAATGTATTGTAGAACACCAAGGCGGCTCCCTCCAGGTCGTAGTCAAAACCTTTCTTGATCATCTTCGCTACTTGGAGGCAAAGATGAGGGAGGAAGCTCAGGATGAACACTAAAGTTACCAAAAACGCGATTACGGTGGTTTTGCTACGAACTTTTCTCTTTTTCTTTTTGCTAAATGAATGAGATGGTGTTATGTTTGAGCTGATGACTGAAACAGATCTGTCCAACAATCCAGTTTTTGTTTCGATAGGGGAAGGTGCTGACTGTGTCATTTGGTTCCTGTCAGACATCTGTTTCGTATCCTGTAGGCACATTTCATTAGGTCGAGAGGGTGAGTCCTCTTTCTTTTGTCTCGCTTCTTCTGCGTCTTTTTCTTTCTCTTTTTCTTCCTCCTCGCAAACTACATTGAAGAACGCGAATCTTGATTCTGACGTTGAAAACGCCACCGGGGCAAATCCTTCCATTTTGGGAGAATCAAGATCAATAACGGCGTTGGGCAAATTTGGTGCCTGCTCAGCCAGAACCAGATCCGGGTCTTCTTCCGGAAATGACGTCGCTGACGCATTAGTTCGTATTGTTTCCGTTGACGTTTTCCTCACTACTGGAAAGCCGTCCTGAATTTCTTTGTACGTGACGTCATCACAGAACGACAGCTTTTTTTTTGTTTTCAGCATTTTGTCAGCGTCTTTCAGGCTGCTGCGTAAGGAGGCGTGTGGGGGCGATTCCTCTGGCGAGTCAGTGGTTTCAGCAGGGAGATCTGAAATGACGGTCCTACGCGTCGTGGAAAGACAAACAGGCTCGGTGGACGGACATTCCCCACTCGTAGAGCCTGGAGTTATTTCCTGAGGGCGTGAAGCCTCAATGGTGCTGTCTGAGACTACAACGTCCACATCCTTTTTCGTGGCATTTCGTAGTTCCTCGGTTGAAATTGCTGTAGAGGGCGAAAATGTGGCGGCGTGGGGAGGTTCGGCACTTGAACTAGAATCATCCGTTTGGGAGTTTAAGTACGAAGGCAAGTTGAAATCTGAATTCCTTTTCATGTATCTGAAAAGGATAGAAATAGAAACAAATAGAAATTTGTTGGCATTTTATCATTTTTCTTCTTCTTTTTTTTTTTTTTTGTTGAACGGGGATGGGGGTATTTGTCTGCGCTTCAATTAGAGCTCTAATGGGGTGCCGGCGAGCCGAGTTCAACCTGGAGACACCATTTTTATACTTTGGGTTATTCCGTGGGTGTTCATGCTTTCCCACATGCTTACAGCGATGTCCTAGTAGAGGAAACATCGGCGGCACGGGCCTTGAAAAGAGGCCTACATAATATACATGTGCATGACAAGGTATTACTGTGCTGAGAACGAGGAAATACAACCTACTCCCATTTAAAATCAGTGAAAGTGAGACACTGCTGTTGGACTCTTCTTGCCCCGATAGAGTTAGCACAGTTGAAACTATCTAAGACAGCCGCCCATTCTCGAAGAGAAAAATGGTTGTCTTAGACAAATGGACGTCTTACACAGTGGCATTACAATGTAAAAGAACACAAGGAACGGGAGGATGGCCGTATGTTCAGGAAACGGTCTTATACAGGTGGCCGTTAGAACATGTTCGACTGCACTGATGCCTTAGTATGGGACTTTGTGCAGACCGACAGCTCTTCTTCAGTCTTTGGTACTACTGTTAATTAAAAAAGTGACGTGACCTGTGTATAATGAGCAGTAGTAGGAGCAAAGATTGTACTTACAGAAATTTTGTATGATTAAGAAAAGAAATAAATCACTTTTACAAGCATCAATCGCGACATCTGCCAAAATGAGTGTCGATATTTTAAAGGACAGGTAGGGATTGAACCAGCTTGTAATGTATTAGTGTTATCTTTTTATACGCGTACCTGTTGTGTCGTTTGGTCTCCCACAATACACAGCAGTACAGTGAGATCAAGGTAGTCGTCAACACAATAAAGGCCAGGAACAAAATGCCGTTGTATACGAGTGGATAAATCGTGTCCTTTACTGAATCCGGCGTGGAGCAGTCAGAACCGGGAATTCCTGGAATGCCAGAGTCGGTTGTGCGCAGCCCGTACATGATCAGAGCCGGCCAGGCGAAGAACAGGGCCAGGCCCAGGATGGGGATGAGCAGTCTTTTCACGTGGTGCACCCGCAACTGCCTCTTGAAGGGTTTGCAGATTTTCTGGTATCTGTCCACGGCGATTGCCAACAGCGTCATGATTGAACCCATAGCGCAGAACGAATTGATGAATCTGAAAATGTAGAGAAGTTTTGAGTAAAGAGAAAAATTAAATAATTATTGTTGGAGAATATTGAAGGAAGCTTTAGTAAGAGCTGTACGGTACACAACATAATAAGGTCAAATAAGTGCCGCAGATTAGAGGTGTTACAATAAAGTAACATACACCAAAAAAAAAAGAAGGAGGAACGATCAGGACGATAGAAGTTTAATGGGAAAGAAAGCCCAAACCACACCACAGCACTCGCCTTAACCACCCGTATTGAAGGATTAAGGTCTTTCGCCAGAAACGTACGTGTCAAACTCAAACTGCTTTATTGTAGTCATCATCATCGTCATTGCCTTTTTCACCCTGCATCAGGGTATAGGCCACGGACAATCACATTCCATCTTTCTCTATTCTGGGCTAGCCTCTCGCCTCTTGATCTTATTCCATTTCTTGTAGTGCTAACGAAAATAACATGGCACAGTATTCTGGGGGTTGGTACTTCCACTTTGGCAGGAACTCTTTCAGTGTCAAGAAAGAAGATACAGGAGTAATGGCTGGAGAAAACCAAGGAAATGTCGACCCCCCCCCCCCACCCCCAACACTTTTCGATATAGGGGCATCTACTGAGCAACGTTAGCTTTTTTCGTTTTTTGTAATGTGGTTAGTTGGCGGGTGCTCTGATGTGGTTTGCTCCTTCTTTCCTATCAAACATCTATCATCCTTATCTCTCCTTTTTT